TAGAAACGGGTTCATGAAAGCCTGTAGGGCCCTTTTGTAGGAACCCTTTACTTGGCCCCCCAGTCTCCGAAGTCTCAGCTCTAATCCCGCAACCCTAAACCCTGAAACCCCAAACCCTCAAAAAAGCCCTAATCACCTAACCCCTAAATCCCTAAACCCCTAAACCCCTAAACCCTTAAATCCCAAAACCCCTAAACCGACCCTTCAAGCGGTTCCAAGAGCCCCCCCGAAGTGGCTGAGGCGGCTGCAAAGGCCGCAAAGTCCAGCCAGGCCCTCGGCTCTCATGGGAGGCCTTCAACGGGCACGGTTTGGGTTTAAACCCTAAACCCTAAACCCTAAACCCAGTTAGGCTTTAGGGTTTAGGGGTTTAGGGTTGAGGTTTAACGGGGCACCCTTGAAGGGTTCCTCAAAGGATTCCTTTGAGGGTTTATTCAAGGGTTCTTCAAGGGGCTCTTTAAGGGGTTCCTTAAGGGTTCCTTCAAGGGTTTTATAAGGGGGGTTTAGGCAGTTCTCTGCATTAGGGTTTAGGATTTTAGGGTTCAGGGTTTGAGGGCATGTTAGCTGAGCTTAAAATTGAGGGGTTTGGGGCTTTGGTATGTGGGTCCCAAGATTTCACCACAGCGATTTTCGGATAGAATGAGGTGTGTGGGACACAGGATCGTTTATGCAACGACTCCCATTTGGGATTACATAAGGGGCAGAGTCCCCCCGATGATTAGTAACCTCGCCAAAAGCCCTATTCTGAGAATTCTGGCATTTTTACGTTACCTTCATCCCACCTTCCTAGACCCTCTGAAAGTCTTTTGCACCCCACGAAACGTTTATGAAAGCCTTTTAGAATCCATCCAAACCTGTTGAGCCAGTGTTGCCAGCCCCAAAACTCGTGACCCTGAAACCTTGAATGCCTCAACCCCAAACCCTGAACCTTCATCCCGCTTTGCCCTAAACCCGAAGCCCTAATCTCCTAAACCCTAAGCCCCAAGCCCTATGCCAAATAAAACCGCCTCTAAGTCGAAGCAGACGGATGCGAAGATACAAGTTCGATCCAGAGAGGGGGCATCTGCTGCGTATGCAATGCAGCATTCAGGTGGCTACTGGAAAGATGATGGAACTTGGTTTTCTGCGGCTGGGGAGCAGGCAATGCAGTCTCAGGACATCTATCACTGCACCTCTGTCGATGTTGGCAGGAATATTCTCGAGCAGAACTTCATCCCAAACAGTGGGGATTGCTCACCTCAAGGAGTCTACGGCACAGCTGACCCTCTAAAAACCAAGCCCTATACGCCCTATAAGCCCTAAGCCCTGTACCCTATGAACCGAAAGCCCAGGTGCAGGCGAGGCAGCCGCTGAGGCTGCAGGCCTCGCAGCCGCCGGCGCTGCAGAAGCGGCAGGCCACGGTTTAGGGTTTAGGGTATAGGGTCGACGCATGGGGCGTCGTTTAATCCTTAGGTATCGATTTGGGATATTTTGCTGTTGAATATCCCTTCTGGCCCTTGTTGTTCAATGCACCGCCCTCATGATGAATATGATTTTTGAACATCCTGTATTGTTTAATATAGAGCCCTAATGAGTAATACTTTTGGTGGGGTATTGGCGAAATCGACACCAAGTACACTGAACAACTGGCGCTCTCTCTTGTAAAAATTGGATGTACCCGGGCTTAATGCACAAGCTTGATTCAAAAGTACCTATATTATTCCTTCGGGATTCCTAGTAACAAACCCTAAACCCTAAACCCTAAACCCTAAACCCCTAAACCCTAAACCCTAAACCCTAAACCCCTAAACCCCTAAACCCTAAACCCTAAACCCCTTCGGGGTTCCTGGTATAAGTTTGATCCAGCGCTGGGCTTATGCGACTAGTTCGATGTAGAGACTGCGGCTGACGCCTTAAAGCTCGATCTAGATTTACTGCATCGTTGTGCTCATCGTGTACGGGTTTAGGGTTTAGGGTTATGTTTCATTTTTGCCATCGTCTGTTCGTGATGTTATTGATCATCTTTCTTATCACTGTACTTGGTTTCTACACTATTTGCCACCATTCTGCTATCGTTTTTAAGGCTGCGTGGGAATCCTCTGGGATTTTCGAACAGTGAAGAGATTCGTCGAACATTGTCGTGTAATTTTTCGGCAGCTGCACGGGACACCAAGGTTTCGACCCCCAAAAACCTCCAATCCCTAGCCCCGCAACCGACCTGAGCTCTGATAAACAGCGGAAGGTCTGGCGCCAGAGAGCTGTGCAGAGGCTCAGACGTCTCGCTGTCGTCCCGCCTGTTGGGGTTCGGAGGAAAGCCCTAAGACACAAAGGCTGAAGCCTAATTGGACCCCATCAACCCCTAAACACCAGAAGCCAGACCCCTAAACCCTAGCAGGGTTGTGGGCTTAGTTACGGCTTTGGACTTCGTGGACTGAAGGCAAGTGTTCTTGGACTGGGGCTGGAGGGAACCCACGAACCGACCCTAAACCCCAAGCACACATGCTACACAACCAGCAGGAAGCCATCAAAACTCTAAACCTTCAACCCTGAACCCTAAACCCTAAACCCTCAACCCTAACACTAAATTCAAAGCCATCAACTTCAGACCATAAGACCCTAAGGCGCTAAAAGGTTCCCAGACCCAACCTGCACGTCTATGTTCAGGGCTTCTTGTTAGGATTTTACCAGGGTTTGGAGTTTAGGATTTCGGCGCATGTTTAGGGTCTAGTTTCTACAGGACTTAAAGATAGACCCCAAACCCCTCTGCCCTATCACATTCTAACCCTGCCACCCTATGAACACTAAATCTTCGAAGGGGCCCCCACCCTGTAATAGTGGTATAATAGGAATAGAATAGGGCCCTAATATAATCCTTATAGTATCCTTATGGTCACTATTACAGGGTGGGGGCAGCTTCTAAACTAAATCTCTAAAGCCCTGCAGCCCGAAACCCTAAAGCACCCAAAGCCCTAAACACGCCCTTTAGATTCTAAGAACCCCTGAAAGCCCCAAAATCCTATAAACAGAGGAACCACAACCCTTAAAAGCTCTAAAATCCGAAAAGCAGACGAACCAAGACATCTAACATAAAAAGTTTAAAAACAGAGGAACCAAAAACCCTTAACAGCACCAAACATCCTAAAACACAGATGAACCAAAATCCTTAAAAGCCTTAAAATCCTGAAAACAGACAAACCAAAGCCCTCCTAAACCCTACCCTCTACAACCCTCTTAAAATCCGAAAATCAGATTGACCAACAGCCGCCTCAGCAAAGAGGCCGCCGGGCGAGGCGCCTTTCAGGCCGCGTCAGCAGAAGGCCTTTGGCTTCTGGCGTAGGGTTTAGGGCGGAGGCGGGGGTAATGCATTAGGGTTTAGGGTTTGGCTTATGGCGTTGTGTTTTTTCTATTTTTTTGACGGGGGGGGGGGGGGGTATATAGGGTTTTGGTTTTTGTTGCCTTTAGGAGCAAGCTTTTGCACGAGGGTTTAGGGTTTAGGGTTAAAGATTAAGGTTTGGGGTTTTGGGCAGGTTTTAGGTTTCATGGTTATAGCATTTACGGTTTAAGGTTCAGGGAAGTTTAGGGTTTTGGGTTCTTATGGCTTGCCATTGAAGTTATGACCCAGGATTTAGGGTTTTTGGCTTGAGCGCGTTTGGGTTTTAGTACTTGTGGTTTTCAGGGGAGGTTGAGCAGTTTTGTTTTATGAAGGGTTGGAGTTTAGAGTTCAGGGTTTCCGTTTCAACGGTTCGGACATTTCCGATTTGGGGCTTTTAGGGTTTAGTAGGGTCTGGCCGCTGTTTAGCTAACCCTTGAGTAGATACCCACAACGCTTGCAAAAGCCAATACACGACAACCTCATTAATGCCTAGAAAATCATACCAGATGCCTATAATGCCTATAACGTACCTTTAGAAGGAACCCGAAGGAACCCTCAAAGAAATCCTTCAAGGCACCAATAAAGACGACCTGAAAGGCCCGATAGCGTTTCCCTCCAAGGAGCGCTTAAAGGCCCTTGTAAAAGGAACTTTAGATGTGCCCTTAAAGGAACCCGTAAAGCAACCCCCTTGAAGGAGCCATTTCAGGCCCCATAAAGTAATGTAGGGGCCTTGATAAAAACCTATACTATTTTGGGGGGTTCCTAAATTGTAATTATAGTACAATGGGCCCTAAAACCCTACTGTCATTATTAAGGCCCCTATATCATAGTATATTCTCTTATACATCCCTTATAGTAGCCCTTATATAGACCCCTTTAAAAAAACCCTACACTCATTACTAAGGCCCCATAAACTCACCAGGTCTCAGTTCGGAAGTGGCTGGAGCCCTGGCGGCCGCTGCCGCAGCGGCGGCCGCGAGCTCCCGGCGGATGGCGCAAGGACCGCTGGGGGCTCGGGCGGGGGAGGGGGGGGAAGGGGGATTTAGGGTTTATGGGTACGGGCTTTAGGGCCTCTGGGTTCGGGCTTTAGGGCCTCTGGGTTCGGGCTTCAGGGCCTTAGGGTTAAGGTCTGGGGCTGAGGATTTAGGGTTGGTTTATGAGAGTTTCTAGCAGTGTTCAGGGTTGGATTTCTGTTTTGGAGGTTTCGGGCTATGGAGTTGGTCTACCTCAAACCTGTGGCTCAAGACCTGCAGTCCAAACACCGCCAGCAGGTATCCTAGAAACATTGCAGAACGGTCGCCTTAGACACTATAAGCCCAAGAGGCCCTAACACCTTGCTCGGAGAATCTCATCCTTGTACCAACCCCTGGAGCAACCTTCTGCACTGTATTACCTTTGCAGCAGCCCAAAACACTAAACCCAACCTGCAACTGACCCTCATGATGGCGTAAAAGCTAAACCGCTTAACCCCTAAAAGTCTAAACCCCGAACCCCCCAAACCCCGAAGCCGCGAGCCCTAAACCCCTAAACCCTAAACCCTCCAACCGCTAAACCCTACAGTAACCCCTAACTCCCCAAACCCCCTAAACCCCCCTTTGTGCCGGTTCATGTCTCTGTTGCCATAGCCTTGGATCGAAGCTTTGTGGGAGCCATGGGGGGCAAAACCTCCAAAGGCCGGTCACATGCTGGAAAAATTCGTAGGGTTTTAGGACCTTAGGGTCTTTACAGGGTTTAGGGTTTAGGATCTTGAAGGGTTTAGGGTCTTGAAGGGTTTAGGATCTTGAAGGGTTTAGGGTTTGGCGTCTAGGATCTTAGGGTTTAGGGGTTTAGGGCTGAGGGTTCAGGCTTAGTGCATTGGGATTGAGGTGATTTAGGGCGTGGGGTTAAGTGCTTTGGGGCCTTTAGGGTGTTGGGTTTGGCATTGTTGGACTATTAGGGTAGATCATGGTGGCATCCCTTTATTCATGAAAGGGACCCCGATAATCTACGCAAAGCTTACCATGGTAGTGGTTCCTCCAGGGTCTACGACTGTATTCTGAAGATATGTTGGCTCCTCTCCGACCTCCGACGTGTGGCGTTCCTCGCGATGATCCTACGCAATCCTGGGTTGTAGCTTTACTTCTAGTGCTTTGTTAGCACTGCCCCCTTTCTTTCCAGAGCTTCTGTCGTTCTCGCTTCTAGTTCGCTTGTCCTCCTCCTCCTCTTCCTGCAAGCCCTCCCTTGGAACACAACAACCTGAGGGTGGTTGTCAAAATTATGGCCCCTTTTTGGGTACCCTGAATAATAGGTGCTGTACTATATTAGGGACCCAAAAACTGATCCTAGTTTTGAGAACCACTCCTGAGCAGGCGAAGCGAGCGAGAGGAAGGAGGCGATGCCGCCTCTGAATGTCTCGATCCTCAACATGAGTGGAGAAGAGGCGGAGCTGGTTTTACAAAACTTCCCGTTTAGGATTTAGGGTTTCAGGAGTGCAAGATTAGGTATCAGGGTTGCAGCTGTGAGGCTTTGAAGGCTTTTGGGTGCTAGACATCAGAGATGAGATGTCTCTCCGAACCCCGAACATTCACGAAGGTTTAGGATTGAGGATTTGGTGTTCCAACTTTGCGGCATGTTGTTTATAGCCGGGCCTTACGATGAGTTTCAGGTCTTGTGCGGATCGTTGCACAGCTCCTCTTTTGAACCCCGTAACTCGGCACAAGCCCAAAGAACCTGCTCCTCCGTGCGAACATACGTACATACATACATACACACATAAAATCTGTGGATCGGTTTATGTACAATCATATGTGTAATTGTGCGTGTCTTTCCTTCCTCGCGGTCCCTCACGGTCATCTAAACCCTAAACCCTAAAAGTCAGCCACAGCTTCAAGGTGTTCAAGCGCGAGCTGATGCCAACGATGACTCTCCTGGGCCTGAAGAAGGCTCTTGCAGAGGAGGCGCTGGGATTTGGGGTGTAGGGTTGAGGGAAGGTCCTTGCAGAGTAGGGAAGATGATCATTAGAAGAATAAGAGTGGCGTTCTGAATAGCAAAAATACAGACAATGAGAACAAGAAAAGGCCAGTAAACGTCATATATGTTTCATAGTAACATGCAGTAAGTGAAAATCAGGATACAGGATGAAAGGATACACCAATAACAGCTACTATTGCTTCTTGGGGTCCAGAGGAGGGGAGTCTCGGGTTCGGGGTTTAAGATTTGATCTTCGGGGTTTTGGATTTGGGTCAACTGTTTCGGGGGTTGGGGTTCAATTTTAGGATGCGGGGTCAGGGTATACCGTTTCGGATTTAGCTCTGGCCACCGGCAAGCTAGAGGGAATCTATGCGCTAATCCCGATTCCTGTCAACAATGCTTGGGTGTTGACTGCAATTAAGTTGAGATGGCCGGTGTGAAAGTACTCCAAAGTTCATGAGTGTTATCTGTAGGATTATGTAGGGTTGCTTCATGCTTTAGCTTGTTGCGGGGTACTTACAGTTATCCATGTTTTAGATCCTTGAAATACTGACCTTTGATTCTTGAAGACACCCTGAACGATCCAAAGCCCTCTAGAAAGCCTTAGGGTCTATGTACCCAAATAGTAAAAACTTTGGCCGCGAAGTACCTCTTTAAGTACTTTAAGGCCAATGTATATACTACCTGCGTACATCGACCCTTAGTGACAGCCTTCTAGGATGCCCAGTACTACCCTTATTCCCTTTTTGTAGTCCTAGGTTCCTTATAAAGTTACCCAATACCAAAAAGAGAGGCCCTTTTTTATTCTTAGGTTACTGGGTATCCTAGCCTTCCTTCCCCAGGTCGGAGGGACCTCGGTGGCTTTGAAACTCATCCGCGGCAGCGAGACGTTGCAGCCGGACCTTATGCCCTTGGGGGAGATGCTCGAAGGGGACACGGAGCTCACCTTCATCCGAGTCAATGTCCCTCGGATTCTGATCCGTACGTTTAGGTGTTTATGGCCTCGGGGCTATACCCCGAAATGGCCCAGGTTTGCCCATTAGCATGGGGGTTTGGGTTTGTAAGAAAGACATTGCCACGCACAGGGTACCACTCCGCTCTGCATTCTGAGACCCCGTGATCTTTGTTGTAAACTTCACTTCTAACACGAGAAGTTCACGGTCCATGACCGAGGGAAGAACTTCAATGATAATCCTCAGCGCCTTTGGGTCGACAGTTTATAGTTTCACAAGCAGTGACGACTACAAGCAAAGCTGTCCCACCTAGACCCCCCCCCCAACTACCGTCTATTATACCCCCTTCCCAAATACCCGCCATTAAGGGTCATAAGGTCTCTATTAAATGAACTGTGATTTACAGGGGCCCCCCAAAGGGGGTATGGCAAACAAACACTGTTTACTAGCAAGGGCTGGCGAGAATCCGATGCGCATGCAACGCATCTGCGCACATCTGTTTCCATCCTCCCATGGCATCCGCCCACCCCTGTCTGCCCGCCTATGATTTTTGTCGTCTTGTTCAGGGTTTCTCTGCTGTGTGAGGCATGTGTGAGGCAGGCAACGCCGCTCCTCCTAACCCGCTGGGCGTGGTGCAGGAATCAAATCGCTTGCGGCTCGAGAAGGCATGAAACCTTTTCTTGTCCCTTGGAGCGGAGGGGCGCAGAGTGGGCCGAGAATCACAGTGTCAGCCGGGAGAGGCAGGGGTTGCAGCGGGGCAGGCGGCAGCACAAGGCAGGGATATAGGAGTAGGGGCGGGGGAGGAAGGCAGGTGAAGGGGCAGGGGCAGGAAGCGGCAGGGGCAGGGCCAGCAGCCAGGGCTAGGAGGGCACTCCGCAGCACTTTGCAAGGCTTTGCAAGCGTTGCGGAGCGTTGCGGAGCGTTGCGGAGCGTTGCGGAGTGCTGTCCCCTCGTCCTCCGGCAGCACTCCGCAACACTCGCGAAATCTCGCAAAGGCAACACAGTCAAGGAGGGTGCCGCCACCGATGCCGCCGCCCACCCCGCCACTGCCCGCCGCTCTACGCCGAGTGCGCCCGAGCCCGAGCCCGATTTCGAGTGAGCCGCTCCAGCTCGAGCCCACTCGACGCGAGCCCGAGGCGCCTTCACCGCCGCCGCTGCCGCAAACTTTCCAAAGCCTTCCGCCCCACTGCGCACAGGTTGCTCACGCTGATGGAGGAGGAGATGAGGAGGAGGAGTGGGAGGAGTTGTAGTCCTACTACTGCTTACAACCTGACGGTGTGCCTCGATATCACCTTGCAGGCCCTATTAAGGCTTACTAAGGCACGAAACTGCTCAATAACGAAACAAACTACAAAGGCCTACTAGCTTCTGCTAGGGCTTGCTAGTGCCTGCTAGGCCTTGCTATCTCAGCTGCTTGTCTCGTTTGAAACTCGATTTGGCATACCCCCTTAGGGGGGTCCCTTTAAATCACCTCCCATTAAAGGACCCTTGGGGGGTCTTGGCAGTCTAGTAAATGCCAGAACCCCTGCACCCCAAACCCCAAAGACAAAGCCCCAAATCCGAGTTGAGCAAACCTTCAAGTCCTCCTGGCAGCTAAATGTTCTAAACCTTCAGCCCCAGATGCCCACACACTTATGACGTCCCCATACCCCCAAAGGCAGAATACCTAAACCCCTCAAGCCTTAAAACCTAAACCCTGAACTCTAAAACCCCGGCCCAAACCCTATTCCCAGAAGCCTACCAGGATGCCCAGTAGTACCCTTATTCCTTTTTTGTAGTCCTAGGTTCCTTATAAAGTTACCCAATACCAAAAAGAGAGGCCTTTTTATTCTTAGGTTACTAGGGTATCCTAGCCTTCCTTCCACCCTAAACCCTAAACCCTAAACCCTAAACCCTAACCCCTAAACCCTGAACCCTAAACCCTAAACCCTAAACCCCAAACCCTAAACCCCAAACCCTAAACCCCTAAACCCTATTCCCAGAAGCCCCTCAAGGTTCGCCGCGTTCGCTTCCAGAGTTTGGCATGGCGAGGCGGCCGAGCTGATACCGGGCTCTTGATAAGCCCAGACCAAGGGTTACACCCTAAACCCTAAGGGTTACTATAAGGGTTCTATAAGGGATCTTTAAGGGTTCTGTACCCGTCCCAGAGACTCCCAAATCCCTTAATTAAGGAATATCCCTTAAATTATAGTAGGATCCTTAATATGATTTAAGGGATCCTACTCTGGGCTCCTCAGTAGGACCCTTTTGCCCTTTTTTAGTTTAGGGTCCCCTTACTCAAACCGAAGAGGAGGCAAAAGGGTAGCCTTATCATAAAGGGGCTACTCAGGAACCCAGTAATTCAAGTTACCATAGCAGGGATTTAGGGTTTAGGGGTTTGGGATTTAGGGTTTTAGGGTTTCGGGTTTAGGCGGGAGTTTATACTAAGTCATAGGGTTGCGTGATTATGACAACTGGTAACTAGACCCTGAACCCTTGAGCACGGGATAGCTGGTCCGGAGGGACCGCTTTCTGCAACGTCTAAGCCCTAGACCCTACTACGGTTTAGGGTTTAGGGTTTAGGGTTTATAGGGTTTAGGGTTTAGGGTTTAGGGATTAGGGTTTAGGGTTTAGGGTTTATGCCCTGAACCCAGGATAGTTACAACGACGGGTGCGGCCTCTCTTCGGCAGCACGTGCTGGCGACACGCTCCGCAACGCCAAGGTTGGCCATGCTCACGATCCCTCAAGTGTAAGGAAGGTTTAGGGTAGGGTTTAGGGTTTGCCTCTCTCTTACAAGGAATGTACCGTGCATCTGCACCGTAAACTATACTCAGGATCCCACTTATCTCAAGCTTCATCATTCATGAGTGAAGGGGCATTCAGCATGGGGTCGGGCTTCATGGATGAGGGGTTTGAGCAGCGGGGGGTGACGGAGTGGGAGTATGTGTTACGCCTTGCGTTGCATTGTTCACGGGTTCTTGAATTCACGACCTCATACAGGGAACTCCAGAAAGTTGGAATATGGTTTCATGGTAGGATACACTATAATTTACCATAGAAGGGTTAGGATAATCATATTCCAACTTTCTGGCTTTTACCTTATGCAGACTGCACAAAAATATCGATCGGATAACCAGGGTTGGGAATCACAACATGGAATGAGAGCACACAGCCAATTTCCAGTACTAGTAACTAATGTGGTGGGTTTAAGGTTCAGGTTTCCTGACAGTAGAGGTGGGGTTTAAGGTAAAAGCCAGAAAGTTGGAATATCATTATCGTAACTCCTTTAAGGTAAATCATAGGGGATCCTACCATTAATCCATATTCCAACTTTCTGGAGTTCCCTTTAGATGTGGGGTTTAGGGTTTAGGGTTTTGTGGTTGAACCGAGATCTCCATACCCGGCACTTTCAGGTTTAGAGTTGTGGCTTTGGGGTGTGTACTACGGATTACGATTGGGTGCATAACAAACTTCTAGCCCTAAACTAACTAACCATGCATGATCCTACTAGCTGCTGCTGATCATTCAAGCAGCCCCGAAGCCCAGAAAGTAAGGACTAATTCTTACTGGCTGTAAACTCATTTTTTTCAACTTTTGGGGTTCTTGTAAGGTAGTCGATTCTGAAAGTTTGAACTTTGTTTCCTTGGGTTTTGGGCCAGTGAGAATTACTTCTCACCCCCAAACTCTAAACTCCAAACCTTTTCGTCGTAACCCCTTGAATCCCAAACTAAACTCCCTAAACACCTAAACCCCTAAACCCTACACCTAAATTTAAACCCGTAAACCCTTAAACCCCTCAACCCTAAACTTCAAAGCCCTAAAGCCCTAAACCCTAAACCTCTAAGCCCTACACCTCCAAAGCCCTAAAGCCCTCAAACCCACCCTGCGAGGACGAGACTTCCTGGGTCATGCACGTCCTTGCCGAGGGCGTGAAGCTCCTTAGGGGTACTTAGTTTTTTTTAATTTTTGGTTATTAGAATCCCCAAGAAACAGCTAAAATTGTAATTTTTAATTTTTGGTCATTATAATCTATAAGACGCAGCTAAAATTACATATTTTTGCTAGGGTTCTAAGTTCAGTATAGGTTCGAGTCTGAGAGTCAGCCGGGGCTCTTCATTTGCAACGCAGAGGCTGCCCTCGCAGAGTTGTCCTTGTTTTTGTTACGGGTTCTGGGTTTATAGAAGTTGTGTAGGGTTTGGGCCCGAGTTTCGAGTGAAACGTTTTGAACGAAGGTGTTGAGCGAAAGTTTTGTTTTTTGTTGCTTTCAATCTCGCATTTTGGCTTGGATGGGCAGCTAAGTTCGGAGCCTCTGTGGCGCCATCCTCCATGCTGTGGGCTGGGGCTGTGGGCTGGTGTGGGCAGGGCAGGGAGGGCAGGGAGGGCAGGGAGGGCGGGGCGGGGCGGGGCGGGGCAGGGCAGGGCAGGGTGAGCGAAAGTCTTTAAGTTTTCAGCTCTTCCTAGATGAGTTGATGTTATCCCTAAGGTGCCTAAATAGGGCTCCTTGTGAGGATTCCTTCAAGCGTACCATAAGGGTTCTATAAAAGCTCTATGGGTTTAGGATATGTGGGTCGTTGGACCCAAACCGTATATGTTTTGGCCCCAAAGTACTTAAATAGAGGATTGCGCCGAGTACGGTTCAGGGTCTGGGATTTTCGGGTGCGCCAACCGGCCCCAAACCCTAAAACCCTCGAGTCCTGAAGGCTTTAAGGCTCAATAACCCTAAACCGCTATAAACCCTGAACCCGCAAACCCAACACCCCTAAACCCTAAACCCCTAAACCCTAAACCCCTAAACCCTAAACCCTAAACCCGCAAACCCTAAACCCAAGAGTAAGAGCCAGGATGGAACTGGCAAGCTTCTGGAAGGCAACGGCCAGCGGGAGGTTTTCCGCGAAATTCCCGCCTTGAACGGCGAAGAGGACGAACCCTCCGAGGGTCAATGGAAACCGCAATCCCTAACCCTAGATCCTTGTTATTAAACATCCCTATCTATCTATCTATCTATCTTTATATGGTGAATGCTTCAACCTGGCGTTCGAAGCTTAAGCTGCAAAGTTCTAGCAGGGCTGAGTCTCCACATGCGCGAATCCTCACCTCAGATCCGAGACTCTTAAGCCCGGCCCCTGCAAGAATCGAACGCCCCGGACTCTCAGACCCGAAACCCCGAAACCCATAAGAGACGATATTTAGGGTTTAGGGTTTAGGGTTTAGGATTTAGGGTTTAGGATTTAGGGTTTAGGGTTTAGGGTTTAGGATTTAGGGTTTAGGGTTTAGGGCTTAGGGTTTAGGGTTCAGGGTTCAGGCTTCATGTGTGTACTCCATGTCGAGTCTTCAGGGTGGTTCTACTTGTACATCGATGGCCATAGTAGGTTTTGCTTCGCAGCAGCACTGACCGCCCTCCGTTTTGGGTTTTGGGGCACGAGGCTTACTGTTCAAGGTTTAGGGCCTAGCGGCATAGGGGTTCTGAGACTTTGGCGTCTACAGCAGCGATAGCATGCATGCAGGTATGTATGTAGATAGGTAGGTATGTATGTATGTGTATTTACACAGATACATAGTACACACGCTGGCTTCATTTGACGGACCGTGCTCATCAGTCTGTCATCTCTTCACGGTGAATGTAGATGCAGGATGTGATGTTAATAGCTTGCGTATGCTCAGCGGTTTTTAGAAAATCAGTGGTCCCTTTACCTGAAAGCAAGGATCTTACTACACAGAATTCCGTGCAACTCTCATGCCAGGACAGCGTGACGTTGGAGAGTCTGGCACAACCTGGATACTACCTTTGCCACTGCAATGGCACCATCTACTTCCATTCCCTTGACCGGCGCATGCAGTATTCAGACACCATTTTCCGCAACGACGCTAGTTGGCGACTGCAGGATTACGACTGAGTGATCTGAGTTTGCTGCGTAGCGCAATGGGGACGAGCTTCCCTCTAAATTCTGAGAGATCTATAATTACCCTGACATAGAACCCTTCTAGGAGCATTCATGACCTTGTAATCTTGAAGCCTTTAGACGAGAAGCCAATTTTCTCCACGCGCCGCTTGCCAGAAAAAGAGACCGGCAGCTCATTCCCGTTAGCAAGACAGCTAGTGACTCGCAGCATGTACGGCTTTGGGTTAAGAGTTGGCTGTGGACTTGGCGATGGTCGTCGTCGTAATTAGGCGTAGTCGTAGTAGTCGTCGTAGCAAGTAGACATGAGGCTTTAGTAATTAGAGCAGCAGTAGCTGTAGGTTAGCATTCGGGACGGGGGCCCCAAAACTTCCCAGGCCGAAAGCTTGGAAACATTTTCAATCCTTTCTATATTTAAGATAACGTCTAACGAAGCCGCCGCTTCAGCCTCCAACCAGACATCTCCAAACCCCATGCCCGAAACCCTAAACCCCTAAACCCTAAACCCTAAACCCCTACACCCTAAACCCTAAGGGCCCACCCTACAAACACACATCTTGGGAATCTTCAGGCTCTGACACTGAGGCTCCTCAACTCTAAACTGCAGAAGCCAAACTTCTTCTTCCTCAGACACTTCAAGGATTCCTGAAACCTCTGAACCCTAAGCTTCTAAATATGGGTATTTGTCAAAATTACGGCACCTGTTTGGGACCCTAAATAATAGGTGCCGTATCATCATAAGGACCCAACAAGGGACCCTATTTTTCACAACCACCCCTTTAGATATAAGTAAACCTATCTGGAAACCCTTAACGCAGCCCTGAAAGAAACTTTTCAGTTTAGCCATTTCAAGCAGAGCCCTTTTGAAGCAACTCTGCGAAGAAACCTTTAACAGAAACGAACCCTTTTCAAGCATTCCTCTTCAAGGAACCACTTTTTTAACGCACTCCTCCTACAGGAACCCTGTAAACAATCTCTCGAAGTAGCCCCTTTGAATTATTGAAAGAAAGCCAAAACATGAGACACGCAGGAGCCGAGGTGGAGGCTGTCGCCGAGGCAGCCGGCCGCGCCGCCGCGAAGGTCCAGCACAATTCATACCAGCAGATTATTTGAAGGATCTCAAGAAAAGAGACAACAATGCGGCGGCACAGTGGGGGCTATTGCATAGGGCTTATAGGGTTTAGGGTTTGGGGTTGCCTAACCTGCCCTAAGCCCTTGAATCCTGAGGCAACAAGAGTTAGAATCCAAATCTTGGAAAAGCCGTGAAATCCCATGTACGTCCAACCTCAGCCTTTTGCCCTACATTCCTAAACCAAAACTACTAATCCCAAATGCCAAACCTTGTATCCTAAACCATCCAGAAAATTAAATCTGCATGCTGAATCCCAAAACATAAACCTAAACTACTAAAACCTAAATCCTAAACTACTAAAACCTAAACCCTAAACTAATAAAACCTAAACCCTAAACTACTAAAACCTAAACCCTAAACTCCCTAAACTACTAAATCCTAAACCCGGTCCAAAGACACAGGCTGCCGAAGCTGCGGGTCTGGGTCCACGGCGGGCTGCCGAGCTTGCCGCAACACAGGCGTCGCTGGGGTCTGGGAGTTATTAGGCTTTGGGGATTATGGTTCAGGGTTTCTGCCTGCTTTGACTGTGATCCTAGTTCTGCATTATATGGCCCAACATCCTAGAATTCCTGAATCACTACACAACTAAACCTACGCCCGAGGAAACACAGCCTTAAATCCTGGACCCAAAGCTCCCATCACCCCTATAAATCCTAAACCCCTAAACCCTAAACCCTCCAAAAAAAAACCTCCACCCTAAAAGACTTCTTTGAGCCCCTTTGAAAAGGCCGGGAGAGCAGCAGCTGGAGCTGCTTTGAGTGGCCCTGCAGCGGCGGCCACGGCCGAAGCTCCGGCGTCGGAAGTGGCGGCCAAGGCCCGCCACGGTTTAGGGTGTAGGGTTTAGGGATTCTCAGCCTCAAACCCTCGAAATTTCGAGTTTCGGGCGTTTTGGTCCCCAAACATTAGAAAAAATTGAGAGTTTACGGGTTTTTAGTCTAGGCCTTGAGGGCTTCTAGGTTGGGTATTATGGGGTTAATGAAGGCGCCTCTTTGGACTAGGTTTTTGCATCCAAGTAGTCATGGAGTTTTCACTTTTTCGGCTCTCCAAGCTACCATCTCAGGTACATGGAACCTTACGGCCGTGGAGTGCAGGTTTTTGAAAAAAGGATGTCGATGTTGTTTGGGCGATCTGTTTGCGTGTCTGTGGATGTGAATTTGGAGAGCACGCATAGAGCTATGATTAGGGAATGACAGAAAAAGCACGGGAAGGAAGGAAAGCATGACGAGAACATTTACATGGATATGTCCTGGACTTCTTGCCCCAAGCGTTCTCCTCCTAACTTCCATGCGGCGAGGTAAAGACATCGCAAGAGACGCGTCTGGGCAAAGGAACTAGGGTTGAGGATGTAGGGGAGTTTTGGGTTAC